TACATCCATTGAAGTTGTTATGCATTCAACAAGATTGGTTTTGTAGCAAATAATGTCCTCACCAGAAGTAAAGAGCATATCACGTCCTTTCTAAATCATATGAAAGCACCTGCAACTTAGAACTTTTCAGATCATTTATCTAGCATTATTCGTCTTGGTGAACTTGGTAAGTCTGATTTGACTTACACAGTTGGCGGTGGAGGCAGGGCCGGCTCTGGCTTTTTTGCCGCCCCAGGCAAAAAAGCCTCCGGCTGTCCCCCCCCCTCCGCGGGGCGGCCGGAGCCCCGGGGGGAGGGCGGCGAGCTCCCCCTGGCGTCCGGGGGGAGGACGCCGGAGGGGAGGGCGGCCAGAGCGCCGGGGGGAGGGCGGCGAGCCCGGCTGTGGCCCCGCTCTCCCCGGTGGCCGGAGCGCCGCGCCGCCCCCCTCCAGGTGCCGCCCCAAGCACCAGCTTGGTTGACTGGTGCCTGGAGCCGGCCCTGGGTGAAGGTACAGAGTATACACAGAAAGATACACCCCACACAAGGTTTTCTCTAACCTGGGCTGGGTAAAGTGCCTTCCTTCAAATTGAAGTTGAAGGAGTTGTGCTGGTCTACACTAGCTCACATTCAGGCCCTTTAACTTTAAAATATGTATACAAGGGGGAAAAAAGCTACATTCAAAAAAATGAATGGGGGAGGGAAGGAAGCTTGATGGCCACAGGAAATAACTCGGGGAGGGGGCACGGGGAGCTTGGCAGGCTGCAGCAAATAATTCCGCGGGCCGCGTGTTTGAGACCCCTGGACTAGATGACCTCCTGAGGTCTCTTCCAACCTTAATTATCTATGATTTGGGATAATAGGAGCTGATGGTTACATGTATCAACCCAAATCCCACTGCAACCTGCTTAAACTCATGCTTAATAAACTGTGGCCCATTGTCAGTCATTACTATGGCAGGTATACCATGCCTAGCAAAAATAGATTTGATATGCACAGTCAGCTGTTTAGCGATAGTATCTTCTAGTAAGGCTATCTCAGGGAAGTGAGAGTACACAGTTTTTTCCAAACAATGTAAACATTGCTCCGGGAGTTGGAGGGGGGCAATTTTTCCTGTGTCACCAACATGGGCTCTTTTGCTTGACTTAGTCTGTATTCTTAGATATGTGTCAAGTCTTGACAGCTTCCTCAATATCGTTGTTCATTTGAGGTCAGTATGAAACATTGTAGGAGCCTCCATTTGAGGGGGAGGGGGCTCAGAATCATGAACCGAGTACTGGAATGACATCTATGACCTTGACATGCATTTCTAAAGTGAATATTGGAACGTCTAATTGCAGTAAAAAGTTATTACTACTATAATAATACTGTACGTAACTCTGGCTGTATAAATTGTTTGTGAAGAGCTTTCAAATTATAATTATACCTGTTTTACATAGAGGTGAACAGAGACATGTTAAATTCAAGGTCAGACAGGGCATGATTGACAAAGTCAGAAAAAGCCCCCAATAATCGGGACTACTCATGCCAAACACTAACCTCAATCTCTTGAACCCTCCTGGACACTTACCAATCATGGCTTCCAAATCTGTCACTAACCCTGAAAGTGACTCTTAAAGAGGCTCATTCTATTTTTTTTAATCTTCTTTTGATAATTGTTTAGAATTGGTGCCACAAGTGGAGGTCCAATTTTAGGTTAATTTTGAATCCCTGTAAGGAGAAATTCTCCCCTTGGCAGAGGGCCATCACAAAGGCCCATGTTCCACTACAGTCCCTGCTGAGTCCTAGTTTGAAAGTTTCAAGTTGGACTCAAAATGTCCATAGGCATCGTACTATCCCCCTGCCAAAGGGGGAATTTCAGATATAAGGTCCTGAGAAGAAACACACTGAAGGCAATGGTATGAATCCCATTGATTACAAAGGGGACTGGATCTGACCCAATGTACAAAAATGCCTCCCTCCTTCCTACCGGGTACAAAATGCACTGCCCAATGCCCCTAACCATAACCAGCATAAATGGGAAAGACCAAACCAGATTCCTGTTCATGACAGACAGTTGTACTGCTGACACAGCTCTGAATCACCTTGACATGCATTCTCATGGCAGCACCAAGTCAGTCAGTGGAATGACACGAGGATTGCAGTTGGCTTGTACAATTTTTAGATGAAAGAAAGCTGAAGAATGCAACAATGTCACACCCTTTCAGGCTGAGATTAGCCCAACAATCCCAAACCCTGAGGAAAACAGCTCCATCAAAAGGAGGATTTAGCAAGGCAGTCATGTTTGTTTGGTAACTAATTGGGACCTCCTCCATAAAAGGCATCTCAGATCCTTCAGGCAGTCCTACAAACTGTATAAAAGTGCTCACATCTCAGGACTCTTCTAAACACTTCTCTGCACTTCATCTCCTCGGTGAACACGGTAAGTCCATTTCGACTTCATCTCTTTCTTACCATAGAGATATCCTAGTAGCATCCATTTACATTGAAGATTGAATCTTGCACATACTCTCAGTGACTTTTATCAGGGATGAGGGTGATTTTCCATAATTATATTGTGCACTTATTCAGTTGCAAGGGCTGGTGGATTCATGATGTTAAGCTAAAGGGGGGATTTTAGAGGCAACATATGGAACTGGGAAATATATTTTCTATTAATTGGAAATTGAATTAGGGCATTTAAATCTTTTAAGTAACTTTAGAAAATCCTTTAGTCATTTCTCTTTTCAGTAGATTAGGAAGAAACTGTCCCAGTTTACTCCATAACGGGCCAATTCATTGGTCTTCTACTTTATTCTGAAGAAGCTATTATTCATCACTGTTGCAGACAGAAGAATGGATTAAGCTGACAACTGGTGTAATCCAGTGTAGCAATTCCTACATTCTTATGAGCAGAAATACCCATTGAAGATTCTTCTCCGTAGATGGTTAAATTTAGTGTCGCTTGATGGAAGCCAGTAGACGTGAGCCAATGTACCTCAGCCGAGGATCTTGCCTTTAGTGATTTGTTTGGAGAAAAGAAAAGTTTCTGTTCATTTCCCAGCAAGTATTGGTGATTTACAAGGTTTAGAAAACCAAAGAGCCACACCCAAGAGCCAAAAGGAAAATAATTCGATTACCATTATCCGAGCAATGTTCTCATTGAGAAATGTCTAAAATGGACACAGAATCCCAGCTGTCCATAATAGACATAATTACACTGATTCCAGTTGGTGCTTTTCAGACACAATCATGGAGAGGACTTCAAAGGGGCCAGTTGGGAGCGAAGTTCAGTGGGAGAGGAGAAGAGGCTTAGAAAGCGGAAATAGGAACAAATAATAACCATGAACATAGGGACTGAGTCCACTCCTCCTCCTCTCTCTCGGGGCCCTTGTAGATCTCACCACAATAGTAACCGAGCTTTGAAGCCTTTCTTCCACTGACACTTGTACCTTCTCTTTAATCTGTTCCCTGTTGTGTGTTTCAGGTTTATCTCCATCACAGAAAGATGTCTTGCTCCAGCCTGTGCTATCCAGAATGCGGGGTGGCCCGTCCAAGTCCAGTTTCTGGCAGCTGCAATGAGCCGTGCGTTAGGCAGTGCCCTGACTCTGAAGTGCTCATCAGACCATCACCGGTGGCCGTGACCCTCCCAGGACCAATTCTCAGCACTTTCCCTCAGCAGAGTGAAGTGGGAGCCGTAGGAGCACCTGTGGTCGGAGCTGGCTACGGGGGCTCATTCGGTTTGGGGGGACTGTACGGCTCTGGAGGCCATTATGGAGGATTGTATGGTTATGGGGGATTAGGTGGTTACGGGGGCCATTACGGTTATGGGGGATTGGGAGGTTATGGGGGACTGTGTGGTTACGGGGGAGGTTACGGTTATGGGGGATTAGGTGGTTATGGGGGATTATGCGGTTACGGGGGATATGGCCGTAAGTATCGCGGTGGATACTGTGGGCCATGTTAATCCCAACAGGAATATCCATGAAATAAAGTAGAATAGGCCCTACATGTTCTATCCTTTCCACCGATATGTATCGTAAGCATCTCACTTTGAATTATGCTACGGCAGATGTGTAATGGAGAACCTGCCTAGTCCTCTGCCTCTTTATGCTGTGTTTTATTTCCCACCAACTGGGGTAAAACAAGGACCTTAAAAAGGTTCTGCTCTGTATTGTTTCTTCCTGTAACTTTGTACTGCAAATTTCATTC